TTTAGAAATGTAAATAGAAATAGGTGGCCAAATCTCTCAGAAAGCAAACAATTTAAATTTCCAGGATTATACTAAACAGAAGTGAAATCTGGCTACAGTGATTACATAAATATCAAGATCCCCATCTGACTGACAAAGGCTCTGTGCCTTCTTGTCATGGTGAAGCCTGTTACTATTCAGGATGATTTTGAGTATGTTTGGCTGATTCAAGAGGTTGATTTCCCTGTAATACACACTAAGCTTGTTGCCAATTTACATCTCAGATTTCTGGTCCCACAGATGCCATTCTTAATTAAAGAAAATTCTGAAAAAAAAAAAAAAAAAAGACCTTTACAGCCTTGCTGGGATAAGAAAGATTAAGAAAATCCCATCACTCACTACTGAAATATGCAGCTCTTCCAGAATAAAGCATGGCAGCAATTTTAATCAGCACATAGATCAGCTCTTTAGAATTAGCAATAAAATAAAATGTCAAACTATAATACCACAGGGAACTGACAAAGACAAAATGTAACTCATTGCCACAATTATTTCACCAGAATCAAAACTATTAAATACTGATCCCAAATAGGATATATGAGAAGAGGAAAGAGGAAATATTGGAGAATAATATCAGCTTTCTGATCAGAAACATGTAGTAAGTAAGATAAGTACATTTTTTAAGAATCCCATTCAGCGAGATGACACAGGTCTGCACGTGAGTGAGGCAGAAAGTGGTTTGAAATCACCCAGATTTGACTGAGGCCAGGATTTTATCTCTGCACTTCTCCTGGTGCCCTCAATTCTCATCCTAATGGCAGCTCTGTGCACTCAGCACCCTGCACTCACATCAGTAACTCAGCAGTGAACCAGCCAAGCACAGCAAACCCAAACTGGATCGATAGGATGGACTTCACAACTGTGTGTTGTGAGTGTTTCTAAATTCTAATTAAAAGGCTCAAATTTCCAGTCATATATTTCATTCTCTGAAGGGTCTGAGTGTTTTCATAGCTTTCTGATCATCACAACCAGACACACACACACACACACACACACACACACACAATTTACTTAGGGATATATTTTTCCCATGACCTTACAGACTCACTTCTCTGTCACAGGGAGTTCATGGAAGGAAGTTTGTTAGAAGTTAAACATGAGGAAGTGCAATAAAGCCCATTTATCTCACAGGAGTTAAAAAATTAGTCCAACAGCACCGAACTATTATAGGGAAAAAAAACTGGTTTTGAGCCTCTCTGCAGCCTCATAAAAATAGCCTGTGATTGTGCAGGGCAGATGTCCTCTCTCCTGTGCAGTGTCTGATCAGAGCCCTTTTGGACTTCAGTGAAATAATAATAATAAAAAAGCAAATGGAGGGCAATTTCCATGGAAACTTGGAAAGAGATGTAACATTATTTGCCGTAAGCCTCAGACTGTGAATGGAAAATTTTCTAGTTTACACAGATCTCAGCTATTATTTTCTTTGCAGTGCAAACTTGGGCCAAATATTTTCTGTCATATTAAAGATGCAAACAGTCAGTTTTATTTTCTGTCCAGAACAACTGTGCACAAAAGCTTCAGAAGCTGCAGTAAAATGTCTGATATTCATCTTTCCATGAATCCAAAACACATATTAGAAAAAAAAAATAATTTGGGCTTCTTTTTTGCTGCTTCTCTTCAGAAAGTGAAAGCAGCTTAGAAAACATCTCCTGTTTATGTGTAATGTTACAAACAGTAGACAGCCAGAGCACTGGCAGATGTGCCCAATCTTAATGGGAGCTTAACTTACAAGAAAGTCCATTGTTGAAGCACACAAGATGACAGAAATGTACCAAAAGCAGAGAGTTTACATTTTCATTTATATAATTAATGAAGTGGCTTTTATCTTACATGAATTTCAGAACTCACTGTCTTGCTACTCTTCCTTCATCCAGCAGCAGGAATTGTGACAGTGCAGAAATTAACTTTGAGCAATACAAGACCAAATTCTGGAATTAAGCCTTGTGTGGGAATGAGAACAAAAGTGGACTGTGAAACTTTTCTCCTCTAAAATCAGCTGTTGAGTTGGTGTAGTGTTGGAGCTCTGACAATGACAAGCCAGTTCAGGGGACACCTCTGCAAATCTGGTGCCTCACCTGCACTAGTCACAAGTAGGAAGAGTCCAGAGCTCTAATCTAAGCTAGTCTGGAGCATCTCTGCATGCCCAGACACGGGTACTGCATGGCCATTCCTGCCCCTTCCCACTCCAGGACATGTCCCCTGTAGCAAAGAACTTTTCTGTAGGAAATTCATGTGGACTTCAGATCTTTAGGGCTGAAATGTGGGTACAGTTTGGGACCACATTTGTGCACATCTGAGTTGTCTTTAACTGAGATAATAAACACAGTGACAACATCAAACACACTCCTGAAGGATCAATACAGAGCAGTTGTGTGATAGAGGCTGAGCTGGTCCTGCCCTGGGAATCCTGGCTATGCTTGAGAGAGTCATTGTTCAAGGCAAGGACTGCTTAATAAGGATTTGGTCTTTAACAGAGATTTCATCACAGGCTGACTGACTAAAGCCTTCTCTTTACACATTCACAAATGTCATTCAAAATGTCATGTTGATTTTATACCTGCCTGGCCAAGTGAGATGACAGAGCAAGTCAATCACCTGGCTTTGCAGACCTGTTTCCCCTTTGACATCTTGAAAATTCTATTCACTCACTTGTAGGTCATGCAAAGAAAGAGGAAGCAGCATGACTCAGCTCCACACTACAATGGCTGGAGCAGATCCAGACCCAGCAATCCTTTGGGCTTTCCTTACCAAAACACAAAGCTGCAGCTGGGATAATGTAAAGCATGCAGTGTTTGTGTAAGCAATGTTAGATGGGCAGCAGGCCAGCAGCACTCCTTAAGCAATGTGCTAGTTCTTTACATCGATGGCAAATTATCTTGTCGAGTTCAGAAGGGAACAAAAAAAAGCCAAAGGGCTCTGATTTAAAACAGTGCCTTACAGAAGACAAAATGCTAAGGAGGAACAGCCTCCTGAGCTGTGTTCTGTAGATGTGAATTTACATTGAAATCCAGTGGTTAATAATGCACTGATTTAGCAAGTTTCACATCAGGCCATATTGGCAAATATTTTTGTATAATCTGTAGATCATGTAAGCCTTAAGAGACATAGGAATGCTACTGACCTTAAGGAATCCAGGAACTTGGAGTAAGTTTCAAAAACCCCCGAGTCCCAGTGTTTTGTCTAAACTGCATCTAAAAATTAGCTACTCTAAAAATTCAGTGTCATCTAGAAATTAATCCTGATCCTCTACCAGTTTGCTAACACCTGATCCACAGATGTTTTTCATAAAGAGCATCCCCATGGTGAGTTACAGCACAGTTAATAATGCACTGTAAACACACTTAACTTCACTGTGTAAACTCTGAGCAAAATTCATCAAGAACTTCAGTTCACTCCCCAATTGCTCAAGAAAGGATTTGATGGTTATCTCAAAGCAATCTAACTCAGAGGTAAACCCAACCCCAGCTCTGGGCAGAGGGATGGATCTGTCATTTCAGGCACTGCATTCACTGGGGGGAATCACACACCAGTCATTACTTACAGAAATGTGTCATGAACGTGAGAAAGAGGCACCATCCCAGACATTTCTCTGAAATGGCCCTCACCTTCCTACCAAAGGAGGGCAAACCGAAGATTTACTTGCCAAAAGCAGCTCTCTGGGCTGTGTTTGTAAGGGGGGTGACAGAGCAGTGTCACCCTCCCTCACACACCACCCAACCTCATGCTGTGTTACAGGATAAAGAGGCTTCTGGGCTCTGTTAACTTCAAAAGATGGTTCATTGAGCAGAATTCATGCTTAACAGCTTTTTTCCTTATTCCTCCCCAAAATGTTTTGGGCATTGTCCTACGTTTATACTACAAAACTTGCAGTTATCCAAAACCAGTTCATGTGAAATGAACGGAAACATCTCTTTTCATTCCAAAGGAAAAACAACTCCTATGCTGTTTTCCTAAGTGAGCTGAAAACTTGGAGAGAAAACTAAAGCTAAAAAAAGCAAAGAACTCAAAAAGATTCATATTCTGGACTGTGGTTTCTGTTGCCTTAGCTCAAGGGAAAATATGTTCATGGGAAAAGGGCCTGTCTGGAGCCAGATTTTTTTTCAGCTCTGACTCTTCTAGTTGGAGTGGCTTTAAATCAATATGTTGTTATTATTTCCTCATAAACAGAAATATTCTTTATGGACTGTGTGATAGCTGTTTACAGGTGAAACAACCACTTGTATCTTGCTTCCTAGCAATCAGTATCTAGTTCAGCTCCTACAGACAGACAAGGCAATTTAAGAGGACTTTATAACACTAGTTCCAAGTTTCACTGACTCAAAGTGTTAAATCACCTTCCCAGAAGAGAGTTCCTGAACAAAGAAGTGTCAGCTTTGTCACCTACCTCTGTAGCTACACACAGCTCAAGGAAACAACACCATACTTTAGAAAAACAGAAATCTTGCATGGTTTAATTTTGAAGACTCTTACTGTCATGGTTAGGGTGGACTGTCCTTAGTTCTGCAATTCACTTTTGTCTTTAGCCAGGACTAAGGCAGATTATAAATATAATAGAATTCCACACTAACCCTGCAAAGAACAGCCTACACACAAACCTGCCACAGGCAGTTCAGAGAATCTGTAACTGCCTGTATAACACTGCAACAAGTTGTTATACAACAAAATGTGACCATGCTGCCCAAACACATCATGCCAGACCCCAAATGTGGTTATTATTATTGTAGATGCTGGATGAACAGAGTTTAACTTAGGCATTATGATCCCCATATTGAGGGGATCAATCCCTTGAATTGTCTTTTGCATTCATTAATGTGAAGAATTAACAAAATATCTAAAATGGTCTTTCTTGAGATTCCTCAAGGCTTTTTTAGAATGACACAGTCAGCTTTACTGAATGTTGAATGAACTTCATCCCCCTTTAAACCTGCAGTGGAATTATGCTGGAAATGGAAACCAGTTACCTGTGATCAATGACTGTGACATCGGATGCAGGAATCCCCAGGACACAACAACTCTGCTCCAGCTCTTTCTTACGGATCTCTCCTTGATTGTAATAATTTCCTGAAAACAGCAAACACAGCAACACCATCTTAGTTTAGGTTTGCTTGGAAAGAATTCCTCTCTTCTTTCTCAAAGCATCAGACGTGACCATCTCACATTAAATAAAGGGGCCTCAGTTCAGGAACAGACACGTTGCAGGGGACAAACCCAGGGAAACGTAACTGAGGCAGCTGGGAAAAGTTGTAACAGAGACCAACTGCTAGCAGGGAAATGGGATTCATCAGATTAAAACATTGCCTCCTTCTTCACTGAATTATTTTCTTCTCATCTTGCCCTGACATTCCCTTATTTTTTTCTTGGCACGAGCCATGTAAAGTCCATGCCAGAGCTCTGATGCCCCTTCCAGAATGTTGCTCTATGCAGGGCAGTATTTGCAAACCAATTTTAACTTTGAGGCAATAAAATGAAAAAAAAAAAAATCCAGTTGAGTATTAATGTGTGATTCAAGTCCGTAGTCAGCTGTCTTGAATTACACAAGAACTTTTTATTGTTGTGGTTGTGAGTCATCTAAATCTAGCATTTCTCTGGAGCAGTGTTGCAATCTGAGCCATCACTAGCAAGCTTTGTAAAATTTTCAAAGAGGGAAAGAGTAACTAGAAAAAAAAAAAAAAAAGCCTCTTCCTGCAGCCTGTGAGTGAATGGCTTTGGGAGACTGACTGAGTGTCTGTGGGTTTGCTGAGGAACACGTGAGCTCAGCACTGGGAACCTGGGATTGCAAGTTCCAGCTTCCAGAATGAATCAAAGTGCACCTTCACTAGGAGGACTGAATGAGTACAGCAGGATTTATGTCAGGCTGGTGTTGTACCAGGCCATTAAAAACAGGAGTGTTTTAAGGTACAGCTTTTGCTGCAATGCAGTGGAATAACTGACTGCAGGTGATGTTTTATCCAAATAGTACCACTGCTCTCAAAATACCTGACTTCTACTGAACTCAGGGGAACAGTTCCACAGCTTGAGAAATGTGTCAGGACATCAGGAATATATAAATGCTAACAAGAAAAGATGGGAAGCTATTGAGAGCAAAACCAGCTGAATAGCTGATGCTGCTGGACCTCATCCATGGAGCACTCACCATAGAGAGTCAGCTACTACAGAGAGCAAAGCACATTTATACTGAGTTATTAATTTAATCTAAGGTTATTCAGTGTGTAAAGGCAGATTTTTTTTCACAGTGCTGTAATTCTAATTCATTTCTAAGTCATTTTGATTGATACCTAAAAACTGCAAGTACAATGGTTTTTAAGTAACGATTTTGCCTCAGTGTTACAATTTGCAGAGTCTTTGATCAACTCACTTGTCATCATCAATCACACAAACAATGAGAGGATGAACCATCTGAATCACCCAAAAGACTAATAAGAGGCTTTTTAAGGAAAAATCTATTAGCTCATGAAGGTGCTCTCCTACATGGGCTGCTCATTCCCTCACAAAGACACGTGAGAGTCGACAGAAAGCAACGTCAAACACAATTAATGCTTCGTGTCACTGAATCGGGAGTAAAGAAAAGAGAAAATTCAACAAAACAAACAGGAACACAACACTTCTTTGGGGAGTTCTCTAACAGCAGCAGTGCCCAAAACTGAAATGGCAGAGTTGCACTTCAGTAATCTTCCCATAGCTGTGGAAAAGCCAAACGGGATCCACAGACCTTTGTCCCTCAGCAGAAACAACGGAAAGCTTTGCACTAAACCTGGAATGGGAGGTGCAGAGTGAGCAGTGAAGCCACCACACCACTGGATTCAACAACAGCTTAATCCCTGTCTTCTCACCTACGTGGTCTGTCATGACAGAAAGCTTTGGAAGCAACAGAAAAGTTGGAAGTGAACTAGCTGGAGCTTCCAAAGGCACAGGGGGGTGTTTTCAGGGTAAGATGTGTTTGTAGCCCAAGATACTCATCTGAACAAACACAAAAAATGTTTTCACTGTGCGTTTCACTCATGGATTCTGGTACAGCAATAAGGTCTCAAAGATCAGTGCAAATGGGATTGTTTCTTATGCACAAAACCCTAAACAATGGAATAACTGATCAGGTGTCAGTTCTGCAGGAAAAAATCTGGAGCTTTAGTAGATCACGAGAAGAGCACATAAGTGTCATGTGCTGCGAAAAATTCTTGTCCTGGGCAGACAGTGCAGCCTGTAAGAATCTTTCCACTCTGTTCAGCCCCAGCAAGGCCTCAGCAGGAGTGCTGCTTCCAGTTTTTGATCACTGCCCCTCAAAAAAGATGTGAACCAACTGGAGGAGTCCAAAGGAGAATGATCAGAGGTTTAGAAAACATGATCTATGAGGAAAGATTGCAAGAAATCAGGTTGTTTAGTCTGGAGAAGATAAGGCAAAAAAGGCAGATAACAGTCTTAAAATATGTAAGAGGCTGCTACAAAGGGACACTGCGATTTCCATGTTCCTGGCAGACAGCAAAAAAATAAACAAACAAGCTTAAATTACACCAATGACTCAGGAAAAAGGGATTTGAAGGGAAGCTGATGCAGCTCAGACAGAGACCCCACAGGCTGAGGCAGCTCCCCGGGCGTTCAGGGGAACAAAGGTTTGTCTGCAGCACAGTCGGTGCTGCCTCCAGGTCACCTGAGGGACAACACGGCCCCATTCCCTTCCGGCCCATTGTTCCATGATGGGATTGTTATGCAGTGGCTATTTTTAGGTGAGTTACAGGGAATGTATCACGATATTAAACCTGGATCATCCAAGTAGGTCCTCTGCAAGATGACAGAATTACAAGGAGATGGCAAAAGGCTGTGCCAGACAGCACCTTTTACAGTCCACTGATACATCCACATGGTTTGGAAGTGCCTCAGCTCTGCTACAGGGGATGGATTGTGAAACCTCTGTGTAGATATTGAGGGGGATTTTGCTACTGCTGAAACCAGAGTCATGGAATCATGGAATGGTTTGGGTTGGAAGGGACCTCTAAAATCATCTCATTTCAACCCTCTGCAGAAAGTCACAGTGCCCAACCACCCTCTGAGGGAAGAACCTTTTCCTAATATCCAACATAAACCTGCCTGGTGCAGCTTCATGCTGTTCCCTCAGGTCCTGAGTTCTTAAATTGGCTGTAAATTTGGTAAGAGCTTTAGCAAATCCCATCTTTGCTGTGGATATTTCCACATACAGACAGGTGGGAAGAAAAAGTCTCACTTTGTAGAGGGTCAGTAATGAATGGAATCAATGCTGAAACGCACCCACCAGTTCCATGGTGAGGAACCAACCGAAAGCTTCCCTGGCACAGCTTCAGGCCATTCACAGAATCACAGAATCAATCAGGTTGGAAAAGACCTCTGAGATCAAGTCCAACCTTTGGCCAATCACCACCTTGTCCCCCAGCCCAGAGCACTCAGTGCCACATCCTGTCCTTCCTTAAACACCTCCAGGGATGGTGACTCCACCAGCTCCCTGGGCATCCCATTCCAATATCTAATTACTCTGTGAAGAAATTCTTTCTAATGGCCAACCTAAATCTTCCCTGGCACAGAAAGACTGTGCCCTCCTGTCCTTGAGTAATGATCATGGATGGAGGAAGGAAGGATGAAAGAGGAATGGATGGAGAATCATAGAATGGTTTGGGTTGAAAGGGACCTTGAAGATCATCCATTTCCACCCCCTGCCATGGGCAGGGGCACCTTCCATTATCCCAGGTTGCTCCAAGCCCCATCCAACCTGGCCTTGGACGCTTCCAGGGATGAGGTAGCCACAGCTTCCCGGGGCAGCCTATTCCAGTGGCTCACCACCCCCACAGGGAAGAATTTTTACCTAATATCTGATCTAAACCTCTCGTCATTCCATTTGAACCCATTGCCCCTTGTCCTGTCGCCACATGCTCTTGTAAAGGAAAGGGGCGGGAGGAGGGCGGGCATGGCCGCTCCGCGCCTCAGTTTCCCCACAGTCGGTGGGGGGGGTCCTTCCACCCCGCGATGCCACACACGGATGGGGAGGGGGAGCCTCCCGGCGGGCTCCCCGTGCCGGGGGGTGTCCCCGCTCACCTGCGGAGCAACAGAGCACGGCGGGGGCGGCCCCGGCCCTGCGCAGGCCGAGCAGGGCGGGGGCGAAGAACAGCGACTCGTCATCGGGGTGCGCCGTCACCACGAGCGCGCGCGCGCCCCGCGGGAGCGCGCGGGACCCCCCCGGGCGAGAGCGCGCTCGGCGAAGGCGGCGCGCGCCCCCGAAGAGGAGGAGGAGCAGGAGCGGCCCCGCGAGCAGCGCCAGCAGCGCCGCCGCTGCCATAGCGACCGCCCCTCGGGCCCGCCGCGCCGGTGGGAAACGGCGGCGACGGCACCGAGGTTCCGGCGCACGAAAGGGTCCCACCCCTGCACACACAGAGCCCCTCCCCTCCGGTCCCGCCCCGAGGCGGGGCCGCTCGGCCGCGGAAACGGGGTTCGCTTGTGCCGCTCGCGGCTCTGCTGATCTAGGGCTGCTCGGGGAACGTATCCTGGCTGTGCGGCTCCAGGGCTGTCCGAAAAACGGGCCCGGTTCCACCGCTCCCGGGCAAACGGGTCCCGGCTGTGCCGCTCCTGCGTTTCCCGGGAAACAGGCCTCGTCTGGGCTTCCTGGGCTTCCCAGGAAACAGACCCCGGCACTGCCGCTCCAGGGGAAGCGTGTCCCAGCTGTGCCGCTCCAGGGCGGCCAGGCAGGAGCAGGACCTGCCCTGGCCCGGTCCCAACCGGGGCGGTGTACGGGGGCTGTTCCGTGGGGAGGTCGGCGGGGAAAGGCGTCACTGCCCTGACCGTGCTGGTACGTCCAGGGTGACTAACGGTGACTAAAGTTGGGCTTTTCAGCTGTAGTACCTTTTATCGCTGCTGTGGAAGAGCCGTGGGTTAAGGGGAAGCTCAAAAGCAGGGCAGGAGGAGCTTATCTTCAGGCTCGTCGTGCTGTCTGCAGGTCTGTGGGTTATCCCGACTGGAAAACGTTCGGATATGGCTTAGAAGTGAAGGCAAGCACTGGAGAAGGCTGCAGAGCAGGAGGAGACAGGAAGTGTTAAAATAAACATGAAAAGGGCAATCGGATGCAATTGGAAACTTTGCTTTTCGAGGCAAACAGGCAATATGGAAGACAAGTGTCCGGAGCAATGGTGGAGTGTGGGAGCTGGGTGGGTTAAAGCATAAATGGTGAAAATAATTCAGAGTTCAGTGTCTGAGGAGCAGCTCAGCCCTCACGAGGTGTGTGTCTGACTGGTCTTCACTGACTCTTATTTGGGCACCTTTAACATCCAAGTGAACAGACGGAGTCACTGGCTTGTGCTGGCATTGGAGACTACAAACAGCCTGGAGATGGGCCATGTCACCTTAACTTGGCACTTTAACCACTGTGATAACACAGTCCTTAGTGCAGCACGTGCTTTCTGAGGGATCCCGTTTGCCACAGGCTGAGCCCCTGCTTTAATAATGGTGTGGGCACCCATCCTGCTTCTCATATTTAATGGCAATTGTGACAACGTGATAATTTAATCTTGCCTAATGGTATGTTTTTTCCCATGGTAAATCTGAATAGTTGATTTATTTGTGATTTTAGCACATCCTGAGATACACATTTGTAGGTAGGACACAGGGCAGAAACTCTTTACTGAGGGTGCAGGGAACGAGTTACACACTCTTCATTCTGGGGTAGGAATAAAAGGACATTTAATGAGACTTAAACCTCTCTCACATGTTTCGGAAGTCATTCGTCGCCAGAGCAGGGGCGCGATCTCAGGGACAGCGCGGGAGGCTGTGGCGGAACCGGACGATGCTCCGGGCCCGGGACGGGCTCCTGAGGGCGCATTCATGGGCACGGGGCCCGTTATGGGTTATTATCGATTTATATCGAGGCACAGCGGGGCGCTGCGGCTCCCGCCCCGCGGCCGGTCCGTGAAGCCCCTCACGGGCCGGGCCCCGCTCGCCTCATGGCGGCCGCGCCCCCCCCGGCCCCTCAGAGCGGGGGGGCAGCCCCGCCCCGCCGCACCGGCCCGCGGTCCTGGAAGGGGCATAGCACCTCGTCCTCTCACCGCCGCGCTCCGTGGTGACTTTTCTCAGCCTGTCGCTTCCTGTGCACCGCCACACACCGGCGCGACGGGAGGAAAGGGAGGACCCGCCGCGGTCGGTGAAAGGCACCGGGCGGCGGCGGCGCGGTTTGTTCGGTACCTGCCAGGACCCGGCGGGAGGGGGCGGAGCGCGCGGGGCCGGGGGAGGGGAGGCAAGATGGCGGCGGCGGCGGCGCTGAGGGTGAGGTGAGATCGCCGCGCCCGCCCAGCCCCGCCGGGACCCGCCGACACCCGCCGCCCGGGCCGCCCCTGCGCCGCGCCTCGGTAAGCGCGGGGGGCCCCGCAGGGCGGCGCGGGGGGCAGCGGGCCGGGCGGCTCCGCTGCGAGCAGCAGGAGGAGGTGGAGGAGGAGAGGAGGAGGGGGAAGAGGCGGGGGCCCGGCCATCCCTTCCTCCTCACGGGCAGCCCTGTGGTCCCCGGGGGGAGCCCGCTGGGGCCGGAGGGGGCCGTGAGGGAGCGGCCGGAGGTGCGAGGGGTGGGCGGGTCAGGGGCGCGGTGCCCGCGGGGGTTCCCCCCATTGAGGCGGTGGGAGCGCGGGGAGGCCCCGGGGGGGGGCACGGAGGGGCGGCCCCGGCGGGGGAATTCTTGGAGAAATCCCGGAGCGTCGGTGGTGCTGGGTGTGCATCCTTGCGCTGTGCGGGGAGGAGAAGTGCGAGTAAAAAAAAAAAAAAAAAAAAAAAAATTAAAGAAAAGGGTCAGTTCTTCAAAACCGGCCCCTCGGAGCGCGGTGGTTCCCGAGGATGTGCTGCGGCCACTGCTCCGTGTCCGGGGAGCATCGCGGCCGCTGTCAGTGCTGGGGAGTTGTTGCTGATGCTGACGCTGAATTATTCATATGGGACCTGTAAACATCCCCGGCTTCTGTCATCTCTGGGCTGCTGCGGGGCACAATGGAAGTGGCTTTTTGCTAGAATTGGTCTGACTTGATGGTAAAGAACTTGCTGATTTTATCCTGTACTTAACAAACCTGTGGGTATCAAGTTGGTTGCAGTTAGACCAGGTTCTAGATGGATGGATGAGCTGTCAGTGTTGGGCTCAAGTGAGCGAGTAGATAGTCTGAACAATCTGTTGTTGTCCAAAACCTGCTTCTTCATATTTCACAGATATGGTCTTAACCAGTGTGTTTCCTTTCCATGGCTCTAAATATTGGTGTAACCTAACACAACTTATTACAATGGGGATGTCTAGTCCTGAAGACTTGGTTTTGTGGCAGCATTATTGTATTATGCATTAATTTTAGGTATGGCACTATGATTGTGAACTGTTAGAGCTCAGATGGGGGTATTTATCCTATACAGCATGATTTGAGAGGGAGAAAATAGTGCTGTTATAAAAAAACCATTACTGTTGTGATGACTGGGATGACCATGGGCACAGTGTAAGTGCCTGGATAAGTGGACACAGTTATGCCACTGCACACGAGGACTGTGCAGATCTGTTGCAGTTTTGCACTGGAATTTTATCCTGCAGAATGTTGTTATTCCTGATTAACTAAACAACCTTGATATTTGGAAAGGAAGTCTGTGATATTCCAAGTGAATCTCTAGTTAGCTGAAATCTGGTGTCTCGCGTTGGGGGATGAAAGACCTTCGTGCTTATCCCAAGAATTCAGAAGTTCAGGGGAAACAAGCCAACAGCAGGGACCCTTTTTGCCAAAGCAGGCTTAATTTTTTTCTTGATGTGGCTTTTCTTTGTGATATAGGATATAGGCTGCCGAGGAAGAAAAGTTATGTTGTGATTTATGTGCAGTATAATTTGCCTATTTGAAATATGCTCTTTGATACTGGTCACTAAAATAACTCAATTTATTGCTGAAACATGGGAATGAGCAGTATTTTGGAATCTTCTTTCTAAGAGTTACCATGAGCATTTTTTTAACATGTGGAGAGGATGTTATGAGTGTTTGCTTCCACAAGTGTTACTTCTCTCTAGGTTGTTAATCATTGCATGAATCAATTAAAGTAACTCCTCAGGCTGAAATTATAAACACAGAGTCAGAGTATATTCACTTTTCTACATTGTGCTGCTGCTGTTTTATTTTACATACAATTTGTCTCCTACAACCACTCATTTTAGTTGCTTCTTCTGTGCAGACACGTTTTTCATTGTGATCGAAAAGGATCTGCAAAGTGCTCTCAAAAACTGTGGTGAAAGTAGGAACAGACCCTAAAGCTTTTTCAGTTTCCCCCCTCGAGTGCCTTCCCCAGTTCTTGTGCCTCTCCAACTTCATCTTTAGAGTTATTTCATTTCTCAGTTACAGAATGAATGAGGGATGCTGCTCACAGGGAGGGAAAGCTGCCTCTGCTTGTGCTACTGTTAAATGCATGAAAGCAACTGAAAATCATCTCCTGAACAATATTTTCTATTTTTTTTTCTGTATTACAATCTTAATATTGACATTTAATTTACTCATTCAAGGCTCTCAGCCAAAGTTTTGGTGAAATGTCTTATTCCTCTTCCTTTAGAATTGCCTACAAAATGATTTGGATGAAGGTTTTCTTGCAGGATTGAAAATACTATTTGGAGTTCTAGTGTGTGTAGCTACTTACATTTAGGATTTTAACAGTTGTTGGAGCTGGAAGGGATCTGTTCCTTGTGCAGGTGCAGGGCAACACAGAACGATCTCGAGAACAGACTTGTAACCAGACAGTGGTTTCATAATGCAAACAACTGTTTCCTGGATGCCACTCCTGAACTCTTCAAGCCATTTATGTTTTTTAGTTAAGTCTGAATCAGTGTTGTGGATGTCAGGTTGTTAACTGGCTGTGGTACCTTCCCCCTCGACTGTAACTGGCCCAGATGAAATTTGTGACCTGTGCAGGACTGCTGGCTGTAAATATTTACTTTGTGCTATTTCTAAATTATGCAAATAGCCAGGGGGTGCTGAATGTGTCTTCCATTTCAGTTTCTCTCTCCTTCAACCATTCTCCATCTAGTAATGGTTTTTGGTGGGGTTCCCTTTCCCTTCTGTGCTGGTTCAGTGCTCACCCACCATCTGTTAAATCACTGCCACAGCCTGGGCCTGCTGGGGCTCAGCTCACAGAGGGCTCAGTCTTACCCTGGGCTATGTTTCTTCCCAGTATCCTAAGGGAGATTCCTATATCCTTGCA